CATTACAAGGTATTTACAAGGCATTTTATATAGAAATTAATGTACGTGACAGAAAATTGTATCGCTCTAATAACTGTTGAGTCAGACGATGAATTTACACAAATAACATATTTCTCAACTAATATATTCGGTTAGGGATATATGCGATAACCCTCTATCTCTCTATCTATCTATCTCCCTAAGGCACACGCAGGCACAAGCAAGCAGCGAACGGAAGCAGCAAGGCATGGTTTCTAAGTATAATTATTAAGAACTTTAGTACAGTTAAATTGTTCACAAATAGGTACAATAAATGCGAAGCGTAAACTCCACTTCAACATATATTCCGATTTGCCTAAATTAGAAGAGCAAAATAAGGCATTACAAGGTATTTACAAGGCATTTTATATAGAAATGAATGTACGTGACAGAAAATTGTATAGTAGTAACAAGATTTTGGTATTACCGTCTTCGTATCAAGCAAATATTTTATTATTTATTATTATACCTTGTTCCTTTTTATGCGTTTTTGGGGTTGCGCTCTAATAACTGTTGAGTCAGACGATGAATTTACACAAATAACGTATTTCTCAACTAATATATTCGGTTAGGGATATATGCGATAACCCACAACTCATTTTGGTGTCTCGCCGCGCATGTTTGTACACTTAAACACACGTCTGGGCAAAATACATACATAACATCATGCAACTGTATGTGCATAAAGGTCCGTGTGACCTCGGTATGCTCAGTAGCCGCCATTGCTGACGTCCACGTTATCAGCTTCAGCTAGACACGCGTGGTAGCTTCGGATAGCTTTATTCACGAGTCCTTGCGCTTCCCCACGACCTATATGTCAACTACATGAGCCATGTATCCATACCGGCCCCTATCCACCTTCGTTACATTCTTTGCTCATAATCATCATCATTACATTTTGGTGGTGATCCGGATCCAATTAATTATTTAATTAATTAATTAATTAATTAATTAATTAATAAAAAATTCACATTGAGAGAATTCAGCTGCCTTGGCGGAGGTCTGTGCTCTCCGAGTGCTCTAGTTATCAATGTGACACGTCGTTGTCTTTGCCCGAATACGCGCACGACTTTTCGCCAAAGCTGTGTACATCATTTGTTCGCGGTTTGTTTACCGTTAATGATCGTAACCGTCGCATACTCCTGTGTTATCAGCATTCTGTGTACAACTCTGCTATCACGCGTGTTTGTATGGTGTGTGTTGTCCGCACATGAATGTTTGATCCCGACCGCAAAAGTATATGAACTAACGAGAACCAGAACAGCTGACAAATACAACAAGATTAGGATTTAAAATACACAAATTCTCATTTATTTGACAAAAAAGTTATTTAACAAAAAATCGGATTAAATACATTGAACAATAAATTGTCGTGTTATTATACCAACAAAATTACCAATCATGAAATTATTATTTCGTATCTTGATTTCATCATCATTATTTACAAGCTAGCGGCGGCAGCTCCCTGCTATGCGGCGAAGGGCGGCGGGGTAGCTCTCTGGAGGCGGCGGGCGGTGGACGGCCCTGTGACAGCTCCTCCGTGGCGGCGGCAGCTCCCTGCTATGCGGCGGGGGGCGGCGGGGTAGCTCTCTGGAGGCGGCGGGCGGTGGACGGCCCTGCGACGGCTCCTCCGTGGCGGCGCAGCTCCCTGCTATGCGGTGGGGGCGGCGGCTATGTAGCAGCGGCCGTATCGGCTGCTCTGTGGGGTGGAGATCCGTCAGTGGTTCACAGAATCTGCGCTCTCCTGCAGGGTGTGCCCCGAAAACTGGCGACGTGCACAAACAAGGACAAAAAGACAAAAGGACCAAAGACGACAGAAGGACAGACAAACTTTCACTCGCAGCTATCACTCGCAACTATCACACACTGCACCCTCCTGTGAGCGTATACGGTCGTGAGGCTTGCTAAACGCAACTTAATAATACCATAGCGATATTTATTTCCTACCCAGTCCTAGCCGCCCGGCTGTCCAAATATTCGTTAATAATTTCGATATTGTCAATGTGATAATAAGGCCGAAGTCTGTCCATGTTTTTGTGACTGAATTCGGTGGTAAGTATTCGTCAAAGAACCTATGATTGATAGGAAAACCTAGAGAACCTAGGGGTCTATAGGGGTCATATACTCAAGATCTGACTATCGTATCATCCAGAGATACAAAACTCTTGGCGGAAGCAAATTGTATTGCTTTCAGACAATACAGCTATGATATCCAGGTCTAATCATCATCGAGTTACTCCCCAGAGCAGACACCTGCTCGACCCCCCTTTACGGACATTGAGGGTGATCACTGCTAAGAGTGTTTCACGCCCTCAGTGGTTCTTTTACGTTCCCATTGCAGGAGACAGACCCGCCATATGTTACGTGGTCACCCGGGCCACGAAGGATTCACAGTCCACAATATGATGCCAGGTGTTGGTAATTAAAAACACCTTCAGAAAATTTTACTGTTCGTTAGGTGTTGAACTCACAGCCTTCACCGTGAAAGGCGGGCAAGCTAACCACTATTACATCGAGCATCAGGGCCTTATCGGATATTTCTCGGATAATTCTTTCAATACAAACAGCTTAGTTTCATCTACACTTACCTCGAAGTGTCGGTGGAAGCTGTATCAGAGTAGATGGGGGAAATTAGTCAAAATTTACCACTTAGCCATGTAATTTTGTGGCGGGAAGTGTCACCTCGTCATTTACGGACATCAATAAAGCCACGCCATGCAGGGATGCCTTAGCCGGCTGTATGCGAGATGCAAGCTCTCGCCATTGCTATACATAACAAAAATGCGAAATTCTGGCCAATTGCCCCCAACCATCCTAAATCCATGAGAGCCTCACAGCAGTTTTCACGTGACATCGCCCCATATAGTGTACTGATATGGAAAAGAACATTAATGGAGTAGATCGGCCTGTCACAACCAGCAAATTCTCTGAAATATAGTGACGTCACATGAAATGATTAGAAAAATTCACAATGTTTTAGAAGTGAATGCTGGAAATATACTAATGTTAAGGCTAGCAAATATCACACAGGTAAAGAATGAAAAGGTAAGATTATATTAGGAATTTCTGGAATAGCAGCATCGTGGTAGTGGGATATAGACAGGAGTGTATGGAATATATAGGCAAGAGGAAACTTAACATAAATGTAGGGAATGATAAATAGGCAAAGGTGAACTCTACAGAAATGTAAGGAATAAACAGGTAAGAGAGAACTGGGCAGGAGTGTAGGGAATAAATGAGCAAGCAGTATTATGAGCAATGTACTCATGTACAATGTACAACTGTTTGAAATATTTGTACAAGTAAATTAATAATTGTTTATAATAAGTATCGTTGCTTGTAAAATTTGTTAGGCATGCTGGTTAGGAATCTATCATGGCTAAGAGCAAGGTATGCACAGAGAGGCAATAGGTTTTTATTGATAACAAGAATTGATGCTTGAGAATATATAGATAGAAAGGAATATTCAATATACCATAATTAGATTATGCCTCAAGTGGCACAACTTTTAATTAGCTAGTTAAATAAAGATTCAATGCGTGCACGCTATGGAAGTGTACTGAAGATTCGTCGACGACCACTAGTCCTGCAGCCAGTCGTACTGTGTTCTGGTCCTGCTACGGAGATGGTCATTGCGCTCTAACGTCAGCGCGCGGGACGCCATATTTGACGCTACGCTCTCTAGCTGTTGCCGGACACCGGCTCCTGGCATAGCCTGCTAGCCCTGCAGCGTCGGTGCAGTTGTAGAGTATGTGTGCACTCATGCAGCTTCAGATGTCGTCGATCGGCACGGATTTCGTTAGTCAGCCACTAATTAGACATTGACTGTGTAGTGATGTGTGATGCTGATGATCGGTGTACGTAACCTCGCTGGCAAGTAATACTCCCAAAAAGCTCCCGTCTTTATATGCTCTTGATATTATAGATCAGATTTTACTACGCACATGTAGGTACTGCTCTGCTAAGGCCCCTTGATATACCAATATGCAGGGATATGACGTGCGCGGACACGTCGTCAAATCACGCTCTGGGGGCAAGAGGTCGCCGAAGTGTCCGCGCCCTATCCTTGCATGTTGGTATAGCCAACGACCTACGGCAGAACGGCACCAATACATTGACGTCGCGTGGGTGCATTTTTAGTTGTGCGCCTTCTCTAGGCAAGCAACACTCTTGATTAATTGCTTAACGTCAGCCCTACATCATTTCCTTTGTTCGCCAGGTCGCCGACGTGTCCGCACCCTATCTCTGTACATTGGTATAGCAAGGGACCTTTGGCAGAGCAGTACCACCACTTTGAAGTAGCGAGGATGCATTTCTAGTTGTGCACCTTCTCTAGGCTTGCAACACTCTAGATTAAATGCTTAACGTCGGCCCTACGTCATTTCCGTGTTGCGGCTGTTAACCTCTTTAATATGATCTGCTGGATGTCGAGTAGGTGCGGGGCCTGTCAGGTCGCTGGAGGTACGATGACATCAGTGACTTCGGGTACTGCAGCGTCAATATTTTCGCAATAAACATTGCTCTTAACAGGTACTAGACATGCGCTTACAGATATCGTTTTGAAAGCGTTAAAATGGCATTATTTCAGACCAAACCATCGTGCAAGCAAATCTTAACGATGCGAAAACGTTATGTGTTAGGTGGGTGATTTTTCTAAGGATAGCTCTTCCCAATTTGCTCGCAGAGTTTTTAATCTGCAATGATCTAAGTGACTTCACCCGTAGATGAGTAGGCATAGAGCTGTAGCGTATAAGTTACACAAGGTTTGAATGAAATAATTTAGGGTAAAATAATTAAGAAGAAGTATAAATTTTGTGTTCACGTAAAAATATATATTACGGCAAAACCGAGTACTTGCTATCTGTCTGATAGAGCCTTTTCATTCAGATATGCCACGCCCTGGAGGAAAGAAGTCCTGCGTGTGATGTGTGTGGATACGCTAGCTCCAAGCTAGGTGATCTCAAGAATCACATGCTCACTCACACAACAGAAAAGCCATATAGGTGTGATATGTGTGAATATAGGTGTACGAGTTCCTGTCATCTCACGATACACATGCGCATTCACACAGGAGAGAAGCCATATGCATGCGATAGATGTGAATATAGGTGTTCTACGTCACATATGCTTAAGTTACACATGCGCACTCACACGGGAGAGAAGCCGTGTAAGTGTGGTATCTGTGAATACAGGTTTGCTCAATAGGATACACAAAGGCACCCACACAGGAAAGAAGCCCCATATACATGTGACAGATGTCAATACAACTGCGCATCCTCTAGTAAACTCAATTCACACATGCGCACTCACACAGAAGAGAAGCCATATAGGTGTGATTTATGTGAATACAGGTCTGCTAGTTCCGGCAATCTTAGGATACACAGGCGCACTCACGCAGGAGAGAAGCCGCATGTGTGCGATATATGTGGACCCAAGTTTACTCAATGCAGTAACATCAAAATGTAAATGCGCACTCGCACAGGAGAGAAGCCATACAGGTATGATATATGTAAATACGGGTCTGCTAGTTCCAGCCATCATTCTTAGGATACACATGTGCACCCACACAGGAGAGAAGCCCCCTGTGTGCGATATATGTGGATACAAGTCTACTCATTGCAGTAGCCTTAAAATGCACATGCGCATTCACACAGAAGAGAAGCCCTATAGGTGTGATTTATGTGAATACAGGTCTGCTAGTTCCGACAATCTTAGGATACACAGGCGCACTCACGCAGGAGAGAAGCCGCATGTGTGCGATATATGTGGACATAAGTTTACTCAGTGCAGTAGCCTCAAGATACACATGCGCACTCACACATGAGAGAAGCCATATACATGTGACAGATGTCAATACAAGTGTACATCCTTAAGTGCACTCAATGCACACATGCACACTCACACAGGAGAGAAGCCATATGCATGTGATATATGTAAATACAAGTGCGCATCCTCTAGTAAACTCAATTCACACATGCGCACTCACACAGAAGAGAAGCCATATAGGTGTGATTTATGTGAATACAGGTCTGCTAAGTCCGGCAATCTTAGGATACACAGGCGCACTCACACAGGAGAAAAGCCCCATGTGTGTGATATATGTGGACATATGTATACTAAATACAGTAGCCTCAAGAGACACATGTGCACTCACACAAAAGAGAAACCATTCACATGTGACAGATGTCAATACAAGTGTACATCCTCTAGTGCACTCAATTCACACATGCGCACTCACGCAGGAGAGAAGCCCCATGTGTGCGATACATGTGGACATATGTTTACTCAATGCAGTAACCTCAAAAAGCACATGCGCACTCACACAGAAGAGAAGCCATAGACGTGTGATATATGTAAATACAGGTGTTCTTTGCTACATTCCCTTCAAAGACACATGCGCACTCACACAGGAGAGAAGCCATGAACTAGTGACATGTGTGAATATAAGTGTATTAAATCCAGTAATTGCAAACTTTCATGGTATATCAGTGCCGAGGTACGATGCCTTGACGTGGCACAACTTATAATTAGCTAGTTAAAGAAAGATTCAATGCGTGCACGCCTATAAAAATGCATTCAAGATTCGTTGATGACCACTAGTCCTGCAGTCAGTCGTACTGTGTTCTGGTCCTGATACGGACATGGTCATTGTGCTCTAACGTCAGCGCGCGGGACGCCATATTTGACGCTATGCTCGCCAGCTGTTGCCGGACACCGGCTCCTGGCCTGCTAGCTCTGCGGCGTTGTGCAGTTGTAGAGTCTGTGTGCTTCACGCAGCTTACGATGTCGTCTGTCGGCGCGGCTTTCGTTAGTCAGCCACTAATTAGACATTGACTGTGTGGTGATGTGTGATGCTGATGATCGGTGTACGTAACCTCGCTGGCAACTAAGCTACTGTTACTGCCAGCTGTCACTTTCATGCGCTGATTGAGGTAGAGTAGAATACCCGGCGATTGGTCAGGCGGTAAGACTGTGCAGTTACGTTTGTTACAGATTCATGCGCGGAAAAATTAGGGCGAACATTGGAATAGGCGGGAATAACCTGCCGAATTGTCAGAACATGATATTGTGAATTGCGCGTGAGCGAAAGTGACTTTGTATTGGTAACAGATTCGAATAAAAAGCACAGTTTAAGCCACAAAGCTACATTTTGTTTACGTTCAGTCACTGTTTCGAGGGGCATTCAAGCACACTCGCATAGGCAGAGATGCGTATGGAAACACAAACATACATATACGTACATCATAGTCTTATATTGTTGAAATTCTACACAGTAGACTAATGTGTCTAATGAGTGAAGTAATACAGAGAGTACATACTCGTATGAGGGTTGATTGATCAAGCGTGCGCACGTACGATAGGGCATATGTTGAGCATTCTATATCTCAAATAATCTTATTATAATCCATGTTGTTTATACGGTACGCACAATAACTTATAATTTGATTCATTTATTGAGGTAATTATTAAAGTGTAGATCATAAATAGAATTTGCAGTAAGATAACTATTGATTAATAAGAGATACACAAAACGATCAAACACGAACAAAACAAAACGAGATACATAGGAAGCTAGCAAAGCTTGGATAGAGAAACATGCTATCAGGAGTGAATAATAGAGATTATTATAGCGAAAGTAGTGAGCTCTTTAGACTATACTATGCAATAAGTGAGATCGAAAAGTCCCGCCGCCATGTCACGCAAGACGAAGAAAGAAGAGTCGGATACAATTCTTCGGATTCGGATTCGGATTCGAATTTCGGATTCGGAAGAAAGAAGAGATAGTCTGGTAGCTTATGCATTCCCGTGGGCATTTAATGATTAAAGCAAGAGACCTATGTTAATATCTTTATAATATAGTATAGAACAAGAAAAATGAAGGTGGCAATCTGGGATATTGCGCAAAACATTATTTTATCAGCGATTTTGTGAAACGCGTCGATCGACAATTTTCCCAAAAATACAATTTTTTAAATAAAAAGACGATTTAAGCAGTTACAAACTTAATTTTGGTGTCAAAATGCAAGGAATGGAAGGATCCACTAAAATAGAAACAATTTATGACCATAATGATGACTTTTTAGACATGGAACGGCAAAAACTATGAAAATGCGCTCAACGAATACTTCGGTTTCATCGTTGATATTGAACATAAATGGCAATAACTTCACAAATGTACAACCTAGTGATCATTTTTATATACCAAAATCAACCTCTATTATTCCCCTGATTAAAAATATTAAAAACATTGGCAAAATGTTTGTTAATAATTACTAACATAACCCACCCCCCTAGTGAAAGTTAATTTACGCCAAAATCGTCATGTGAGTTTTTCTTATATTGAATAAAAGTTCATACCATAAATATGTCTATAGAGTCTTTTCAAAGTCTTATATGTCAAACTGGGAACCCCTGCATAACTCGTCTGGAGCAAATTTAAGATGGCTGCCTATTTTACCATTCATAATATACACACATCGCCGATTAAGATTCATACCTTGTTAAATTACAGTTTCGCGAATAGCATATGCAAATTGCAAAGAGTCATAACAAGTATTCACAATCATAGCTTGTCACTTTATTAACAATTGCCAACTACAAGTATATTTTGTACAATACACAAGCTGCGAAGAGGCATTCTTTACTCATCGTCATCGCTCGATGGTTCATCATCATCATCATCCTGGCCAACATCGTCATCTGGCATGTTGTCGCACCCATCTCCCTCTGAGCAGCTACAAAGTTCCGTGCATCGTAGCCCAGCCTTCCTGCACTTGCAGCGGTTTGATGAACACTTCGTTTTGGCACAGGAGCACCTGTAAGTCACATATAATTGTGTCAAGTCAATGGCGTCAATAGCCATGATTATACAATGCTAATTTATTATGTCAGCACAACCATACCTATATGTATATATATACATAATTTTTTGTACTATGTGTGTCTACATTCAAACATACATATATTGGCCAATGCTATTACCTGACGAGATGAATCACTGCTTCTGGGGCAGGCGGCAGCGTTGTCATGACAGGCCTGTACTGTCCTTCCACCAAATACCAGCCATAGTCATCAGGTGAAGGTAACTCCGGATTTGCCACAACGTCCACGCTCCAAATAAGTGCCTGGTAGTGTGCCCTCATGATGGCTGCACGAAGAGCAGCATGTGTCGGTGGCAGACTCTCTGCTTGCGCTTGTTTCTTTTTGAATAGGTGCCACCTGACGTCTGCAACAGTGGTGAGGTCCATCTTCGGGAGGTACAGTTTGCAGACATAGCGTTCGAGAAGATCCATCTGTGCCTCAGACGGGTTTTGCATTGTACCGAGCTGCCCAAATGCTGCCATCACGTCTGGATCCATATCAACAAAGACTTTCCAGCACTTTCTCTTGCTCATTCCTGAAAATCGCCCAGTGATGTCTGCACCACTGAAAGCATGAAAGCCAGGGAGTGCTGCGACGGTGCTCGAGCCCAGCGCATCAAAGATCGGTTGAAGTGAAATGCTTCGACGCCTCTGCCCTGTTCCGGTTACAAAGTGAACATTTCGACACAGCTCTGGGTATCGTCTGAGCGCCAGTACGAGGACATCAGTGTCTTGAGAGTGGATGCTGATGATAGTAGCACCTGCAGAGGTAGCCTCCTTGGCGTGAAGTATCAGTTTGGTGTCAGCTTCTTCCTGACTACTGGCCAGATGAGAAACGTCTCGATGGTTGCCCTTCGCTTGGTCACGCCATGCCACAATAAGATGTTTCTCCTGAGTCAGTTCATGCTCGAGTATATTTAATGCCATGTACGTTGTTAGCTCATCCTTAGTTTTCACATCTGCGAGGAGCTTCTGCATGAAGACCCTTGTGATTGATCTAGAATCTGTTATATGATAGGCTACAGGGACAGCTTTACCAAGTCTTTTCAGTCTTGTAGCGGACTTCAGGGACCTTGCGACATCATATCGGTCGAAGATCAAATGAACTTCGTCATACTTTCCGAATTTCTGCCAGTGACGTATGAAATGGTTTGCGACATGTCTTTATCGTGTCTGGCTTGTCTAAGGACTGCAACTCGCACATTGCGTCGACGACAACAACATGTTTGGATCCACTTTCATTATTTTGATTCATCGGGCACACGTCAACATCTGGTCGCGTCGATGAGTCCTCGAGGATCGCCATTAGGTCGCTCTTCGAACTGGTATGCAACAGTGCACCATCCGCTGAAAAGAGGGATCTTGGAACAACGGAAAACTCAAAGGTACCTACAGCCTCCTTCAAATTCACATCCGGTCTTGATTTGAAGATAACTATCAATCGAGCAAAGAGTGCTCAGTCTTCTTTGAGTTCAAAAACTTTGTCGTCAACTGCTACTTTTACTTTCGCGCCTGTTGTGGACCACATCTTGAGTTTCAGCTTTTTCATTGGTGCCCACAGATTAACCTGGTTGTTTGTAATTCCTTCATCAACGAATGTTGAAAGGCGCTGCTGACCAATCGCAGGCATGTTTGTGATATCTTGTTGGACTTGTTCAGGCATCACAGCTTTCGTAACCAGATTTATCAGCTGATTTCCGTCTTCTGTGAAAGGATTTGTGAAATTGTTGATCGTTGACATGAGAGCTTGAGCGTTCTGCTCTTGGTGGTGTAGTGCTGACTTTGTGAGTTTATGGTGAAATGGTCTATGGTGTACTGGTATGCCAGCAATCATCTGCGCTTCCTGTGCCAGTCGAGCGAGTTCTGGTGCAATCAAGAAGAATCTTGCTCTTGCGTTGGGGTTTAGTGTGATGCCGACCGATCCTCCGGACACCTTCATTAAACGATTGACTTGCTCTAGCGCATGGTCGGCATGCTCTTGTAGCTGCTCAGAGGGAGATGGGTGCGACAACATGCCAGATGACAATGATGGCCAGATGATGATTGATGATGATGAACCATCGAGCGATGACGATGAGTAAAGAATGCCTCTTCGCAGCTTGTGTATGTACAAAATATACTTGTAGTTGGCAATTGTTAATAAAGTGACAAGCTATGATTGTGAAACTTGTATGACTCTTTGCAATTTGCATGCTATTCGCAAAACTGTAATTTAACAAGGTATGAATCTTAATCGGCGATGTGAGTATATTATGAATGGTAAAATAGGCAGCCATCTTGAATTTGCTTAGCTGCACAGAGTTATGCAGGGGTTCCCAGTTTGACATATAAGACTTTGAAAGGACTCTATAGACATATTTATGGTATGAATTTCATTCAATATAAGAAAAACTCACATACGATTTTGGCGTAAATTAACTTTCACTAGGGGGTGGGGGTTATGTTAGTAATTATTATTAAATGTTTTACAAAATTTTGCCAATGTTTTTAATATTTTTAATCAGGGGAATAATAGAGGTTGATTTTGGTATATAAAAATGATCACTGGGTTGTACATTTGTGAAGTTATTGCCATTTATGTTCAATATCGACGATGAAACCAAGTATTCGTTGAGCGCATTTTCATAGTTTTTGCCGTTCCATGTCTAAAAAGTCTATATTATGGTCATAAATTGTTACTATTTTAGTGGATCCTTCCATTCCTTGCATTTTGACACCAAAATTAAGTTTGTAACTGCTTAAATCGTCTTTTTATTTAAAAAATTGTATTTTTGGGAAAATTGTCTATTTTGCGATCGACGCGTTTCATAAAATCGCTGATAAAATAATGTTTGCGCAATATCCCAGATTGCCACCTTCATTTTCTTTGTTCTATACTATATCATAAAGATATTAAAATAGTCTCTTGCTTTAATCATTAAATGCCCACGGGAGCTCAATTCATGACATAAGAGACCACACTAAGAGCGGCAGTTAATGTAAGCGGCTATGTACTACAGTGTAGTCTCTCCGATACTCCTAGGCCGAGATATTGCAGCGTAATCATGTCTCCCACAGGCCTCAGTAAGAATAATATATTGTAGCGGCGCGCTGATTTGTGCGCCGGAACACGCGTGGCCGGCGCGCGGAACACGCGCCGCGGATACCCGCACGCTCCGGCGGCGGCGGAACACGCGCCGCGGATACCCGCACCGCTCCGGCGGGGCGAACACGCGGCCGCGGTACGCCGCACCGCTCCGGCGGCGGGCGGACACGCGCGCGGATACCCGCACCGCGCCGGCGGCGGCGAACACGCGCGCGGATACCCGCACCGCTCCGGCGGCGGCGGAACACGCCGCGCGGATACACCGCACCGCTCCGGCGGCGGCGGAAACACGCGCCGCGATGGATACCCGCACCGCGCCGGCGCGGCGGAACACGCGCCGCGGATACCCGCACCGCTCCGGCGGGCGGCGGACACGCGCCGCGGATACCCGCACCGCGCCGGGCGGCGCGGAACACGCGCCGCGGATACCCGCACCGCGCCGGCGGCGGCGGAACCACGCGCGCGGGATACCCGCACCGCGCCGGCGGCGGCGGAACACGCGCCGCGGATACCCGCACCGCGCCGGCGGCGGCGGAACACGCGCCGCGGATACCCGCACCACGCCAGCGGCGGCGGAACAACGCCGCGGATACCCGCAACCGCGCGGCGGCGGCGGAACACGCGCGCGGATACCCGCACCGCGCCGGCGGCGGCGGAACAAGCGCTGGGTACCCGCGGGTTACGCGGGGCGTACGGTGGCAGAGCCACTTCATTCAGAGCCACCCATTGCGCGGGTTCTATTCTCTGCTAAGGGCGCCCAAGGGCAGCCTTTAGATTTAGAACGCACCAGCAACATTGTATTACTTTGATGAACCATTGCGTTTACTCTGGCGCGAAGTGGAGCAAGGCCACTGCACGTGCGCGCGCAGATAAAATATGGCGCGAAGTGGCTCAAGGCCATTCCCTGACCATGCGCGCGAGGGATATGGCGGGAAGCTCTGCCATTGGTCCAGAGATATGCTCTCTCAATCCGCGAGTATAAATGTTAACTTTTACCGTGGGAGATAAACTTAGAGAGTAAATGATTGTGATTGGTTGTTGAGATGTGCATTTCAATCCGCGGAAAGCGTATAAATAGGGGACTTTGCCGGAGCAAAGTCAGTATTATTGTAGTATTCAGTATTCATCGAGCAGTCATAATGTAGTATTCAGTATTGATCGAGTAGTAGTATTATTATTATAGTAGTCTCAGTATTGATCGAGCAGTGTCAGTGTCAGAGTGTCAGTAGTAGTATTCATAGAGCAGTTATAATAGGGTAGTCAGTAGGCAGCCAGCTTTATCGTTGAGTTAGGTAGTATGTAGTCAGCTAGAACGTTCAGTGCGAATAGTAATATTAATGGGGGGAAGGAGTCGGGTTTTAAACTGGATATAAACTAGGGCGCATCACTTATATTTGTATGTCACCTCCGCGAATGCGGAATTGTTTGCAAATAAACGGCTCTTTATAAGCCACTTCACGTATTCTCGACTTGTGTCGTATCTCTGTCGAGCTACATCCACGCACACTCAGGAACTCCGCAGACAGCTGTCGAAGAACTGGCGAGTAACGCGGTCGGTCAGAACACAACGCAAAAAGGTACTTACGTCACGAAAGAAGAAGAACGACAACATGACTAACGCGGCACTGGTATACGTAGCCGGGTAACCGGATACGAAGAACCAGAAGAAGCGGAAGTCTAAACACGAGCAGCAAGAAAGTAGGACCATCAACGAACGGTCGTTAAAACGCCACAATATTTGCCGTGAAATTGGACTATTTCCCTCTTTTTCCGTTGTGGTGTTTATTAGCTCTTGATACATATACATATATATACATCAGTACTATGTTATAAAGCAGAATAATTCCTTATAGTAACGATTTAGAACTATTAGTCAGTTTACGGAAATATGAAAGTTCATGTCTTAATTTTAACCGGTGTTGTTACTATCTCTACTACTCTCTACTAATTCTCTACGACAAGTAAGGGGCCTACAGAGTTTGTTAGTAGTTAGTACAAGTACAGGTAGACAGTTATAAGTTGAGTTATCCTTTTGTGTTACTTTGAGATTTGGTAGAATTCTATTGCTTAGTTGTACTGAATATAAGCCCATATGAAGCGGGGTTATGCTAGTGTTAGGATGAACATCTCGTATTTATAAAGGCTTAGAATACCAGGTAGAGGAATGTAGGTTTATTTTTATAACTGTACCTGACAAAACCATGACTACAATTCCACGTTAATTATACACACAGACCACTGGATTCTATATTAACCAGGTGATTCGTATAAGTAAAGTTGGTTTCTAATTTGATATTTAGCAAACGTCAATTTAAAAACATAATTCGTTTGAAAAGGGGAGAGATTGTAGTGTTTAACCCTGAGGTTAGCTAAAACGTAAACTAACCGTTCCACGAAACGTAAACAGAAAAGTAGAACAGAAAACGTATTGCGTATACACTGTGAGGGGATGGCATGAGCTTGTGAATAGAGCAGCATGGTGGTTGGAACGTTTTATTGTGTGAGGTATCGTGACTGTTTAAGTTTAGGTTTTGCAATTTTATTACGTGGCCCTGCATTCGATGCCACTCGACCATTCTAAAATCGTCTCTTCATTATTTTCACAGTTACTTGAAATTGTTTACATAATCCATACTCACGTAGTATCTTTCAACGCTCTGGCGAGATTAATCATGGTACATCGTAACAATAAATTATTATAATAGTCTATTATACTATTCTAACTGCCAGTTATGATATTATAATGCCTACCCTACAAGGGATACAAAGAGAGAGAGACAGAGCCAGCAAGAGAGAGAGGGACGAACAGAAATTGACAGACACCGCGCGCACGGGAGAGAAGCACACAGCTACAGCAGTAGGTGTAGTCGCAACGTCAGTGGTAGTACTAGTGATAGTGTGTGGCAGTGGTAGTGTGAGTGCTTTTGACTTTGCAGCAAATGATTCTCGCAAATTCGCAGATATTTGCATTGGCTGTTTTTTAACCCGTCAGTGTGGGCTCTTGTTGTGTTGCATATGTACTTCCAAAGTCGATCTCTCTACATGATC